AGAGGACATGGACACAGTCCGAACCGTGTTTTCGGTCTCGGCAAGAAACCCTGGCTCGGATGTTGCCGGTGAGACCGCCGCGGCATTAGCTGCCGCCTCAATGGTTTTTCGAAAAGTCGATCGTAAATACTCGGCTTTGCTACTGAGAACAGCCAGGAAGGTTTTTCAATTTGCCATGCAATACCAAGGTGCCTATAGTGATTCTCTTGGATCAGCAGTGTGCCCATTTTACTGCTCGTATTCTGGTTATAAGGTAAGATTGGCTAGTAAATGAGGAAAACATTTGGTTTATTTCTTTTCCTTTTTCTTTCTTGTTTTTTTTAAGGTAAAGAATATTTCAACTAGAATCTTTTCTAGTGGGCTTGCCTGCTGCGTCTTCTGGGTAGACTAGTCATGCAAAACATATTAGGCCAACAGTTGGAGAAAGTGGACTAATATTAGGTAACGGATTTGGCACAAATATTGGCAACTTCTATATAAGGTTTTCGGAAAGAAAGTTAAATTATATTTTTTCTTACAAAACCTTATGCATAGTTGACTTTCGAGCAGAAAATGATCAGTGTTGTTCTGGATTCAAACTTCGCTATCAATGTCCAAAGTGAACTCATTTGTAAATTATTCAATCTCAGAGTCAAAAGACATGAAAGGATGACCTTGTTATTTTGTTTTTAATTTCTTTTTTCAGGATGAACTATTGTGGGGAGCTGCATGGCTGTTCAGGGCAACAAACGAAATGTCCTACTATAAGATCTTGAAGTCCTTGGGAGCTGACGACCAACCTGACTTATTCAGCTGGGACAACAAGTATGCTGGTGCTCATGTTCTTTTATCGAGGGTAAGTGACAACTCTTGAATTTACAATATTTATCTACTTTATTCGATTTTTTAAACATTGTAATGACTGCCAGCTTGTTCATAAATATATAGGGGGAAAAAACTTCAAAAATTAAGTATTGTTATTTATTTTGCAGCGAGCATTGCTCCACAACGACAAAAACTTCGAGCAATTTGAAGGAGAAGCAGAAAATTTCATGTGCCGGATCTTACCCAACTCACCTTATAAAACTACACAATATACACAGGGTAAGACCGCCTCTCTCTCTCTCTCTCTTTCTATATATATATATATATATTATGTTTTGTTGTTTCCAACATTTAAAATTTTATCCAACACAACAATTTCATTGTGACGCAGGAGGGTTGATGTACAAGCTACCTGAAAGCAACCTCCAATATGTGACATCCATAACATTCTTGCTCACGACTTATGCTAAATACATGAAAGCAACCAGGCACACCTTCAACTGTGGCAATCTCTTAGTCACTCCAAATTCCCTGTTATATGTGGCTAAAAGACAGGCAAGCTATAAAGGCTTTTTTTTCCTCTATGAATTAGATTAATCTATAATTTCTTTCTTTTCTTGCTCAACGTTTGGTCTTCTACTACTAATTAACTTAAGGAACTTTATAGGTGGATTACATACTAGGGGAGAATCCAATTCGAATGTCCTACATGGTAGGATTCGGGCCAAATTTTCCTAAGAGAATTCACCATAGAGGTTCTTCTTTGCCATCATTGGCAAGCCACCCTCAAGCTATAGGTTGTGATAGTGGCTTCGAGCCTTTCTTCCATTCAGCAAATCCTAATCCTAACATCTTAACCGGAGCTATTGTGGGCGGTCCGAACCAGAATGATGGCTACCCAGATGAACGCAGCGATTATAGTCATTCGGAGCCTGCTACATACATCAACGCTGCTATGGTTGGACCCTTGGCATACTTTGCTGCTACCTTAAATTAGCTATCAAGACATCACGGTCTCTTTCAAGCAACTGTTTCTTGTATATATATCTATTATGCTCGCTCCAAAATGGGGTTAGTCTTCTCACCAAAAAGAGTGAGATTTGAATTGCTTTCTTTAGTTATTTCCCTAGTTTCAAGTGATGTTTAGGACATCAGCTGTGTTCAAGTTCAAATGAACTTCCATGAACAAACAGTTCAATGTTTCTTTCTCTACCACCAAATTACATAATTGGTCGATTGCAGTTTAGAAGTAGGATAATATATAGATCAAGGTAAGTCTTTCACATCTTAAATCGAAATACAAGAAACGAGCTAAAAAATTTGACAGCAGCAGACATAGGATAGCTAAAAAAATCAAGTTGTACGATCACGGACAACAAGAAAGCGAAGGCTTCAACAAATATATATTATATGTGAATCTGAAATTAAGGGAAACAAAAGGCACCCTGACCCTTTATTGCCATCCAGTTGGATCCTACTTCCACACATCAGAGATAAAGAAAAATTTAACCCATATCCCCACAATCATGTTCGAACTCACCACCAAACTAATTTACATATCAGTGTAATAGTCTTCCTTTATTCTGCTCTACTGGGTAACAAACTTTAAGTGAACTATCATGCTGCCAATCATTTTTGTGCTCGTTTAGTTCCTCTGGCAGTTTATGTCAATCTGTTAAAAAAACTTCTCGAGCAACAATAATAACCTAGTTGCAAATGTTCATCAGCTTTTAATTAGTTGTATCGGTAAACGACAAACCGGCAAGCAGTGAAAGTATAGAACTATGATACAAGGATAAAGATTGCACGGTACTCTAAAAAAAAAAAGTGTATCTTAAAGGTGTGTGAGGAGCATAAATATGAGGGGAAAAAATGTGGTAAAGGGGTGTTAAGTAAGAGACAGAAACTCGTAAAAAATGGATAATTACAAAAAGAAATTTTTAAGAAGAGGTGATGGATGACATATTTATATGTATAAATTTGGATACTTTACTATTAGTATTGTGATAAATGTCCTTATATGCAATAATGTGTTAAAAAAAATACATGAATAACATCCTCAAATCTTATTAAAAAATAAATAAAGGTTAGTCTATGTCATCCCTAACAAGCTATGCTACGAATATATCAAGCCAAATCTCTCTAAACACCCCGTGTTTAGCCTCATGGTTAGTCAAAGATTGCTACTTTTCTCCATAATCCCTATCAATTGATCAAAGCAATTAAACAACTAGATAACATTGTAGCTCCATCTAAAATAGTACAACTATTAGAAATAGAAAGATGGAACAATGCACAGAGTTTTATATATTGGCCCTCTTTATAAGAGGTTTTCTTTTTATGAAAAGAAAAGTTGTCATGCATAACAAAGATCACAAGAAAAGGTCATATGATTTGTTCAAAATACATATATACATATGTATGGTTTTGAGTAAGGCTTCATAAAAAGACTAGTCTTTTTTGGAGGAGGGTTCATGAGTTTAAAAGAAACAAAAATGTATTTAAATTTTGAATCAATATCTCTAAAAGTGAAAAAAAATATATTTAAAATGTGGTCTTAAAAAATTTATGTTTGTTAAATGTTGAGAATGAGTGTAGTTCTTCATTTGAAATGTAAAGGAAAAGATAGGTAAAGAGTTTTGACCCTTAAATGGATAGAAAAAAAAAAGTAAAAACAAAGTTTTTTCATTCAAAAATATTATAACATGATATCATAACATATTATAACATATATTATAAAATATTATATTGTGAGGGTACTTCTTCATTTTAAATGTAAAGGAAAAGATAGGTAAAGAGTTTTTGACTCTTAAATGATAAAAAGTGAAAACAAGGTTTTTTTTATTCAAAATTAAAAATATAAAAATTAAGTGTGCTTATCAAAACTGTCTTGGTAGCCCTTTAAAACACAACATGTTATGTAGAGGTTGTCTAATCACCCTTGATCAACTTGTTATACAGGAGGATATTTAGATAGTTCTTGAGGTATAACCTTATTTTTTAAAAGTTTATTCTTTAAACTAAGAAAACTCTATAATTCTTACAAATGGTTAACTACCATTGATAATGTAGGAAAAGTTATTCTATTAAAAAATAATAAGATCTTGATGGTCTAATATATCCCTCTTGTATTAAAGAATTCTTGAGCAGAAAATGGTTTATAATTTGAAAGTATATTTAGTATTTGCATGTATAAAAACTTAATAGGTCCTCCTTGTATGTAGGTTTTTTTAGCATAGAAAATGGTGTTATGCATCTAAAAAATAGCTTTTACATTTTCATTAATGAAAATCATACAAATCCTCTTGTTTGTAGGCCTTTTGACATGTATAAAGGGGTTTTGTAACTCGAAAACAACCTTTGTATTTTCATAAATAAGAAAAAAAATCTATAGTTTCCTTGCATGAGGACTTTTTTTAAACATGAAAGAAGGCAACACACAACATGAGTAATTTATAAAGTTTGAGAAAAATAAAACCCTTGAAAATTAATAGATCTTGTTAAGATTTTCTAAAAGGTCTTCTTTTTTATAAGGATATATATAGGATAAACCTTATGGAAATTTCAAAATTAAAAACTTTTAATAGGATTTTCATTAGAGAATCCTTTGTAAAGATTATGAAGATAAAACCCCTGACAATGTGCAATTAACAGAATCTTTAGGAGGGTTATGAAATTAGATCTTTAATAAAATTTTAACTAATAAACTCTTGTAAAGCTGCAAGAAATAAAACCTTATAAAGACTTGTGAGGGTTATGGAAATGTCCTTTCATAAGGGTCTAACTAGCAAATTTTTATAAGGGTTATAAAAAGAAGACTTAGTCAATCCCTATAAAGGTTGTGAAAACGAGACCTTTAATAAGAGTCTAACTAGCAAAATATTATTAGTATTGTGACAGCTAGACATTGCAATCATCGATTATTTTTTTTTTGAAAAAAAATAAATATCTAACATATTTATGGGAAAAATATTCACCTTTAAGAAATTATCAACTAATATTATAATCACTATATATCCTAACTAGTCAATAGAAATTCTATAATATAAAACTAGTTATGTGAAAGTAAAGATATTATCATTTCTTAAACATTCTACTTGAAGTTGGCTACATTATTGGTTTTGTCTAAAATTATTAAGAGTTTTTCGTCTTTTTTTTCCTATTATATTCTTGATTATAACGTCAGTGAACAGTACTTATGAATATTTCTAACTCTAGTATTAGTAAATATTGCACAAACCCAAAAAAATATGATATTCTTGACTCTAATACTAGTGAACAAGTTTACAAAACTTTGAATTTTTAATAAAAAAAAACATATTTTCAATGCTTTTTTCTTTTTGTTTACTCTTTTTATTATTTACTTTTTTATTAGACAAGAATAAAAAAAAATATTACTAAACAAATTTGCATTTAACAATAATGGTTCTCAAATTAAGCATATAATAAAAAAAACATCGTAAACAAAAGAAATAAAACAAAGTATTTATGGAATTTTTTAATATTAAAAAAAGGTTTATTTAACCAAATATCAAAAACAAAAAAAAATAAAATGCATGACAAAAACATAAAAATATATTTTGTTGAATACAACCTTAACAAAAGCAATTTGAACTGCCTGGACATAAGATCTAGATCCGACCCAATTTTTTTTAAGCTATATCTAGCCCAGTTGTACAGGCTCAGCGGCATGGCCTGGTCACTGATCCAACCCAGTGACCAGGCGGGCAAAAAACGAGAACGCACGCCGCACGTTCAGTACAGTGTAGGAGTAATTAAAACTCAAGCGGGGAAGGAAGGGAGGGAGACTTACCTGGTATGCTACCGCTGATGGCGACGACGAAGCTTGAGGGAGATCGGTCTACTGGACTGGCCACGCCTCGTTCTTCTCCTCTGCTTGTGCTTTTACTTCTCTCCGGCCGTCCTTCTCTTCCGGTTTCACTGTTTTTCTTTATGTTCGTTAGCTCTTTCTTGGTAGTCTCCCTCCTGTCTTCTTTTTTTTCCTCTTTTTTGGTTACAACCCCTCTCTCCCTTTTATAAGCTCCCCTAATGCTTATCTCCCCAGGACCGTGATAAGGCCTAGGGACATTGTGTTTCGGTCGAATTGGGGCACCAACAGTCCTGGCCATGCCAGACTATTGGTGGCGGTTTCCTCGGCCTGCTGGCGATCTTGTGGCGGTGGAGGGATGTTGGCTTAAACGGGGTCCTGTTCTTGGTATTCATTTCATTGCTTGGTCTGGCAGAATTTCCCTTTGCAGGTGGCATCCCCAACTTCCAGACGAAGAAGAGAAGGAAACGGCGTCGTTTCAGGGTAAATGGCAAATTGCAATTTGGTCCTTAATTTGACATTTTATTCAGGCCCTGGATAAATTATAATTAGACCCCTGTATTTCAGTACCTTTTACAAAACAGTTCCTGACTTCCAACTAATCTATTCAATCCTTAATTGACTCTTTAATGTTTAATTCTTTCAAAATCACCCCTGAAAAATTAATTAAACTCCTTATAATACCCTCACCTTTTCATTTTGGCCCATGAACTTTAATTCTTGCAATTTTAATTAAAATCAGCCCTGAATTTTAATATTTATTCAATCAAGCCTCTAATTTCATTAATTAAATTAATTTAAAGTTTTAATTAAGTTCCTAAACTTATCAATTCTTCAATTAAATTCTTCATTTCATTAATTAAATTAATTTAAAGTTTAATTAAGTCCTTAAACTTATGAATTCTTTTAATTTCTATCAAATTAGCTCCCAAATTTATAATTCCACCTTGATTGACTTTTAAAATTTTCAATTTGTATTGCCTTGACCTAAATTTCAATTTTTCTTCATTCATTCCATTTTTTTTCATTTCATTTTCTTTTTATTTTATAAAAATAGAAATTAAAAAAAAATTGAATTAGAACAAAAACAACCATTAATATGGATGAAACTTTTAGTGAAATGCTTTCAGTAACATGAGTGATTTATTCAAAATGTTTGAATATAAGTGTTTTCATACCTACTTTCTTATACGTCATTTTGTCTAGTCTTTTAAAGGAATTAGAGTTGTTTGTGTACCTAATAATGCATGTAATAGAGATACATGTTGTATTTCTCATTACATAAGTGGGAGAGTGCACGATGTTATTTTTTATAACTAAAACAACATTGTAATATTCTCAATTATGGAATTAAACAAAGCAATTATACTATTGAAGATTTGTGGGTTATTTTTTTTGTTAGCTTATTTAAGATTTACTAAAATTTTAGTAAAGTCTTCCCTATACTGAAAAATCTCAAGTTATCGATAATTTATCTTGCACACATTTCATGTTTGTTCTGCAATCACCACATATTCATATTGCATCTCAATCACAATTATTACTAGTCACAAGTATAAAAATCCACAAATTCATTGCAAGCATAAAATTTACAACACTAACGAAATGGTAATTAAACATGGATCGTAACATTAATATTACAAGCATAAAATAGTAGAAATTTTAAATCTTGATAATTAATATAAAGAGATATTAATACCATTCAGGTCATATAATTACTTAAAGCAAAATATATTGACATTCATTTCATTCCAAATTCATACAAAAAGAATTAGAAACACTAACTTCCTGATTCATACAAAACGAATTAGAAACATGAAATTCTTAATTCATACAAAAAGAACTAGACACCTAGGACATTATTCCTGGCGTGAAGGGGAAGGACTTGCAACATTAAATGTGAAAAAAATTATATTAAAAATAAAAATACAGCAAAGATGATGGAGAGTCACTACTACATGTATCTATGTATATAGTTACCTACTCGATAATACATAATCATAGTTGTCAAAAAATATCTACACTTAACTCTTTCTTTATTACATATAGAGCATATCATTCCACAACCCCACCATGGTTTTCTTTTTCAATTATTACCCATTGTCATTCACTAGGTACACCCATCTTATTACCTTGCCCTAAGTTTCAGGGAGGTCACTGCCAACACCACAAACTCTTATTAGTGCTATTAGTCGCCTTTACTTGGATGCACTAATCAAATTCTTGAAAATGCCAACATGAACTTAACTAGTCAAAGCCATTAACTATTTCCAACCTACAATAGTCAATCAATTACTTTCCACCTCACTTTAAAGATTTTCTAGTAATGTTGATGTCAAGGTCTCTTGACATCATTAGCTTTCTTCTTAGGAAGACAATTAAGTTATCATGGGATTGTCAATACTAAAATTATCTAGTGGTATCATTAACTATTCCTGACAAGAATAATTATAATCAAGTTCAACATTTGTTATATTTCCATTAAGATCATGTATGCTAGCAATTCTTGCTAACATCATTAGTCACCCTTATTCGGGATCGACTAATCAAGTTAAGAGGTAGTTATTTTGGATTTATCATTACAGATTATTTTTCAGAATCAAATTCTATAAGTCCACAACCAAAATCAAATTTCGATTCACATCCATTTTATCATATATTTCCTTTCTTTAACCATATATGCAAGTTTTAAATTATAGAATAAAATGGAATACTAAATTCATTATCAACTAAAGAGAGAATAGGTGTGAAACACCTACATACCACCGATAATCGATTTGCACTTTATTGTTGTTAATATATGCCTCTCGCGGTTCATTTTGACTTTACAAGTACACCACATTAGTTCATATTTAATTTTCATTTCGCAAATAGCAAGGCAATAACAACAACATTTACTCTTTGCATTTCATTTCTTAAATCATTACGCATATTATCAACTTCATTTTCAAATGTGGTTTATCCCTTTTCGGTGTTAAGATACGATGTCACAAAAAATTTAGTAGGGAGGGAATTAGGTTCTGTCTCTATTGCAGCTAAAATTCTCTATTTTGCCAAATCTGCTGATAGGGACCGCAACTTAACCTTTCCTCATATATTTATCTATATTTGGAGCTCTAGAGCTCCAAATCAAGCAAGGTTGAATTCATTGGAAATATAACATCTTAGGCTATAATTTTTATTAGAGATGTTTCCAAAATTTTATCGTTTTGAAGCTTGAATCTCCTTTGGAACTGGAATGATGAATCTGCCCAAATTTTATCAACAATTTCCAAGTGAGTTTTCCACCAACCTCACTTCTTCTTTTCTTCTATGACATTTATTTTCTATGTTTTCCTACATCTTATGATCCTTTCCATGTCGAAATTATAAGCTATACCCACAGTTAATAATTTCATCTTTACTTTATACAACACACATCAAACTCGCGAAGTCCTTTATTATCATTTTTTTTTCACTTTTCCCAATTAGTGAGTTTTACACTACAATTAATTCATGCATCAAAAAAACATAATACGTTAGAATTCTTCTTCCTTCCCCTCAATTAGCTCTTGGCTGAAACTTAGTCTAAGGGAACCAAAGGTTCGCTTTTCTTTTTAGTTAATTTTTATTGCCTCATTCACTCAATGTCCACATTCTATATATATTATAAGTGTTCATCAACACAATTTCATAATTTCTTTTCTCCCTCATTCAATCCTCACACGGCCGGTCACTCAAGCCTTTGAGTTAATGAACTTTCTTTAACAATTTTATATGTTTTTCATGTTCAGAACATCTTATGTTAGCTTAACTAACTTCATTCTAACAATTTTTGCACTTTTCCTAAATTTTCACTCAAAAACCCTAAATTATCAAATATGAAATTGGTGTATAATTTCTAATTAATTATTAATTTGTTTTACACAATTAAGTCTAGTGTCCATATCTTGAGAAATTTCATAATTTTAGCTCAATTTAGTTGAAGATTTTGGTATTTTCTCTAATGCTTGCAGCTAGCCCTCTTCTCTTTTTTCTTCAATTTCTTCACTTGTTTTCTTGTTAAAATCCTTGTTATTGGGTGTCCTCTCTACTTAGAAGTCCTAGGTTTGTATAATTCTAGGAGATTTGGTGTTTTCCCCTTTCTTTTGATGAAAATAAATCTACACTCTTCCCTCTTTTTATTCTTTATGTCTAATTAGCCATAAAAGAGGAAGAAATGGGGTATTTATGACCCTATTCTTTCCTTTTCTTCACAATTGGAGTCATACTCCTTATGTTCTTCATATTTTTCTTATTTAATTTCTTAATTATTACCTTTATTTATTTTTATTTCATTTTATCATTCATTCATCATTTTCATTTTTTATATTTTTTTGTTCTCGGGATTTTACAAAAAATGTTTAAATATGAGTGTTTTTGTGCCTACTTTCTTGTACGATATTTTGTCTAGTTTTTTAGAGAAATTGGAGTTGTCTATGTATACCTAGTAGTGCATGTAATGGAGATACGTGTTGTATTTCTCATTACAGAAGTGAGAGAGTGCGAAGCAATTTTTTATAACTAAAATAACATTGTTGAGGATGTTTATTTGATTAATAAGTTTTTAGAAATCTAAAGGAGCTAGAGCTCCTATGATAGAGAGATCAATTGCCCTTTTGTGCTTTGGAGTGTCAAACTTGTCAATTATAGAAAGAAATTTATGAGTGAAAAGGTGTAAAAATATAATGAACTAGTTTTTATTCAATTTCCATAAACAACATCACTAATAAAGTTCTAAAAGCTTTATAATTGAATTATAATTTTCATAAGATGCGATCCTAACTTATGGAATGAATGGGCTTGACTGCAAGTTTATAAACTTTCTCATTAAACAAGTTTCATATTGAAACAAAAGAACCTATAATGCTTAAGTTAATAAATATAAAAGGATAAAGATTTATGGAGTAAGAGAATAATGGAAGGAGTACTATAACAAAGTGTGGAAAAAAGAGAAAGAGTCGCTAAGTAGCTTTGTACCCTGTTTTCTATTTTGTGAAGTCTTATTATGATTATTTGTTTTTTATTGTGTTGTTATTTGTGTATATATTTTAATAGCTTGGCATTACTTAGAGTAGCTTATAATAGCTTTTCTTTTATATATAATACCCAAGGTATTTATAAATTTTTATCATACTAGTTTGTCTATAAAGCATAAAAAATAGTGATGCAATAACTTAATGTGTAAAATGAAGTCACATCATTGGTATTAGTTTGTCTATTGAGCATAAAAAATGGTGATGCAATAACTTAATATGTAAAGTGAAGTCACATCATTTGTTAATGATGAAGAGGTTGGTGTTATCATTGATTACGGGGGTTGCTATAATATTAATAAATAAATATGGATATAAAATAACCATTAACTGAGAAAAATGGTATTTAACCTGCATAGAAAATTTTATGTGCACTTAATGGTGCAACATTAACATCTTAAGAATGAATATATTGGAATGTGTGCTTGTATAAGGATGAAAATAAAAGAGAATAGAGAGAGACAAGAGAGAGAGAAGAAGAAAGAATATATATATATGATAGAAGGAGGGAAGGAGGGAGAAAGTATTTATGAGAAAAAAATATATTTACAAGAGAGAAGGTGTCTAGGAGAGGAGAGGAGGAAAGAGATGAGAGAGGTGAGGTTGGCTACTTAGCCATTTAACATACACTCTGAACAACTAGGATTTATTTTTAGCTTTTTTGGATCATCGAGACCATTCTTAGTAGAATTCAATCTTTCTTTGTGCTAGTTATCTTTCTTGTTTTATTTACATTTAGTCACATGTCCATCATTATTCATGCATGGTTAAGTTAATCACTTTAATGTATATTAAGTTCAAGTTCTATTACTATGTAATACTAACAACTAATTATTGATATATATAATTTAGCAAACTTAAAACACGTTTGAAATTGTACATTAGCAAACTTAGTGGTTGAATTGTGTTTTTTTAACAATTTTATTTATTTGAAAAAATAAAGGATCTCATAATAAATTACTTTAATTGTATCTTATTTTTAATAAAAATATATAACATTTTTATAAAGTGCCATGTTCAAATTAGACAAATATTGTTTGTGGAGAAAAAAAAAACACTAAAAAACTGTTATTTATCAAAATTAGAACAATACTAAAAAAGCACTCTTTTATCACTTCAATGAAATTTCAAACTTAATCAACAAAACAACTAAAACAAACCAGTATTTTACTGCAGTTCGCTCACTATTAAAATAATAGTGTTGTAATCAATTCTAAGTGTTTTTATATAATTTATTTTCCTTTTTGAATTTATATGTGGTTTATTTGCCACCCATCTAAATTCCCTTTGTTCTTATCTCATATCAACTAAATGTTTCTCATTTTATTATTTCATTTTTTATATCTTTTTTTTTTGTCTAAACTTTCTTTGATTTTTTTGACAATTTAAGGAGATAAGAAAAAAAAAATAGATGAGAGATTAAATAAATCTTTAGTTGATTTTTTCGAGTATATGCATAAATAGATTTAGTAAAGTATTAGACCCAAAGTTCAGTTAAGTGATGAGTCCGAAAATACCTAACTCTGAATAGCATGATACTAATTGAATACACAATACATTTTATATAAATGATTATATGTATATTCATGGAAAAAGTATGAGAAAAGAGAAGACGTGGGAAAAAAACATGAAATCAATTGAAGTGGCTACAACTAACATGCATTAATTGAAAAATATATGGTGATAAAAATCAAGAATGATATTGCTAGAATCATTTTGAGTTTTACGATGCCAATGCAATGCAATCTGGATAATATCCCTTCATACGTTATGCATAATTCACTTCCTCCACACAATGTATTAAGCCATCCTTCCTCTAAATATTTCCGTCTCCATATTGTTACTTGCAGGGTCATTGAAAGCATTGAAGAAAATGACTTGTTTGCAGCTCACAAGTTCCCAGAAGCTCATCACATTAGCGTAAACTTGCACTCCAGCAATGTTTTTCTTTCGCTATAATATAAATATTACTTTATGTTTAATATTTGTAATAATATGTATTGTAAAGGATGAAAAAAACAAAATAAAACAAACTACAAGCTTTTTTATTATGCGTATATGTTAAGATACCTGAGATGATAATAGTAGCTTTAAATATGTTAATAATTTGGCTTTCTAATTAATATCTTTTTAAGAATGAGTTTGTTATTGCATGGAGAACGCTCATTTAAAAAAAAATCTTAGTTTTTTTTTTTTATTTTTACATGTTGATGTAAAAAAAGTTAAAAATATTATTTTTGTGTGCTTTTAAATAGAAAACAATTTAAAAAATAATTATTATTATAATATCAAATACTTAAATAACAATTAATTTCTTGACAGGAATTGAATATTTTAGTAAAATTGAACTGGAAAAAATAAAAATAAAAAAAGATATAAAATAATTACTAAATAAACTAAAACATGTTGGATAAATACTATGCAGTTACATTATTTATCTCCACATGTTTTATTGTGAAAAACTTTTTATTTAAGTTTCGCTATAAATTATTACTAAATAAACTAAAATATATTTGGTAAATACTATGCAGTCACACTATTCACCCGTTCATGTTATATTGAAAATGACATTGTTTATCATTTTGTTTTTTAAATAAAGATTTTAAGGAGAAAATATATGAGGTGAGTATTGTGCAACCACATTATTTACTCCCTCATATCTTAGTGTGGATAATACTATTCATCTTTTTTTTTAAGGTTTGCTATTCACTTTTTTTTTAAGGTTTGCTATAAATTTAAGAAAACAAATATTGAACCAATTGCATTCATGATCTAGGTCATGGTTTTAATGAGTTAAGCCATAATAATCGAATAATTTTTTTTTTTACATTGCCTTTTTTACTCGTATCTTTTTTATAAATATATATATTAAATTAATTTTTAAATTTATGTTATAATTAATATCCTTTATATGTGATTGTTTTTGTTTATTTAACCTTTAATTGGTAGAGATTATTTTTTTATACATAGTGTTGTGTGTATTTAGTTTTTAAATTTTTTTAAAAGTTAAATATAAAATTAAGAGAAAACAATATTAAAACTGATTGAGTTCATAATATTGGTTATAAATTTAACAAGTTAAGCCACAAAAATCGAGGAATTGTTTTTTTTTATATTGTTGTTTTTTTACTGGTATTTTTTTTATATATTTTTTAAAAATAATTTTTAAATTTATATTTTAATTAATATCACTTATATGTGATTGTTTTTGCATATTTAACATTTTTGGGATAGAGATTGGTTTTTTATGGTATTGTACATATTTTATTTTTAATTCTGTTTGAAAGGTTGAATATAAATTTAAAGGGAAAAGAACATTGAACCTGACCGAATTCTTGATTCGAGCCATAAGTTTAATTTAAAAAAATAAAGAAAAAGATATTGAGCTTGGTTAAGTTGATAGTACTTGTCATAGGTTCTTTTTTTTTTTTTTGTTAAAGGTTGAATATAAATTTAAGGAAGAAAATATTGAACTCGATTAATTTTATAGTCTGAGTCATGAATTTAACGAGTTAAACCACAATAACTTGGGAATTTTTATTTTTTTTATATTGCCTTTTTTTGGCTTTTTTTTATATATTTTTAAAAAATAAATTTATATTCCAGTTTTGCATATTTAGTCTTTTTTGAATAAAAATTATTTTTTGATGGTGTTGCGACATATTTTAATTTTGGAAAACATATGTTGATTCATCAATATGTTTTTTTATCATTTTATATATAAAAACTTTATTTTAAAAAATATTTATTTTCATATAATATTTCTAATATATACTGCATTGCATAATATTATTTTTTATTTTTATTTTATTTAATTAATTTAATATATTTATTTTTAATATAATTGGATTGAATAAAAATATTAATGTTAATTAATAAATTTAAAAAAATATAATCAGATAAATATTCTGTTTATTAACACATTCAATTTTTTTTAATTTTATTATTAGTTATTGTTAATACTTTTTTTTTCATTTATTAATTCACATAAGTTTTTATTTATTTAAGTACATATATGCATAAGTTTTATCTTTCTTTCACAAACAATTTACAGAACAAAAAAGTGTCAGTTTGATACATGCTAATTTGCAACAAATAATTTGTATTTATTTTTATTATTATTTGATTAAATAAAAATTATTTTAATTAATAAATTTAACAAATATTAATATCTCATCTTATAAAATTAAATATTTTTTATTTTTTTAGTTTTATTTTTAGTTACTATTTATTTATTCACTTATTAACCTATATAATCGTTAATTTATTTAATTATATATATATAAACTTTTTAATTTTCATTTAAAATACTATTAAATAAAAAAATGTTAAAAATCTACATATAAATTTATTTATTAAAACAAAATATTTGAACGGCGGCAAAACCAAGGTAAAGAATTTGTCTTGTCTACACCTATAAACGCCGCTCCATGATTGAGAAAGAAAGAAAAAAATATAAAAATGAAAGGACGGAGATTAACAAGAAGGGATCATGGAAAGGCTTTGATTAACAAGAAAGGTGGTGGGAAGCACAACAGAAGCCTCCATTCTTCATTACATACACAGCTAGAAACAGAGCAGGATCAGTTTTAATACCTACAGATCGGCACAATCAAGCAAGGGTTGTGTCAGTTGTAATATAATCAATGGCTGCAACAAGCTCCAGATGCAACACACCCTCTCCACCCTTTTCTCCTACCCAAAATAACCGTAAATGGACATATCATGTGTTCCTGAGTTTCAGGGGTGAAGACACCCGCAAGAACTTCACTGGTCATTTATACAGTGGCTTGAGTAGATTTAAGCTTCTTGTTTTCAAGGATGATGAGAAGCTTGAGAAAGGAAAAGTGATCGCACCAGAGCTCTTAAAAGCAATTGAGCAGTCAATGTTTTTAGTCGTTGTTCTTTCTAAGAACTACGCTTCTTCATCTTGGTGCTTAGATGAACTAGCTAAGATTATAGAATGTGGTGATCAAAAAAGGCAGACGATTTTTCCTGTCTTTTATGATGTGGACCCGTCAGACGTGAGGAAACAAACAGGGAGCTTCCAGGATGACTTTGCAAAACATGAAGAAAAGTACAGAGAGAACATAGACAAGGTTAGAAAATGGAGGGCTGCTATGACACAGGTAGCCAATCTACCTGGATGGACTTCGAAGAACAGGTTAGGTTTATTCACTTTATGTTTGGCTTATGCGATTCAAAATCTTTACCGGTTTTCAATGTTATAGCTTCCAAATTGGAAGATATAGAATTTGAACTTGGAAGTATGAATTTCCAGATAATGGGCTAGAGACAAGTGTTTGATCTATTCAACCTCATAACTTCCTTGCCCTAGATTAGATACTATTCAGAATCCAGACCTTGCTTCTTGTCCTGTTTGTGTTTATCACATTTGAACGTCTTGCATTTTTCTACAATTTCTGGCTTGGCCTAAATTAATTTTTTTTTGTCATGAAATTATAATTTTTAAACACAGGAATCTCATGCTTGGATTTTTCTGATGTCCCCATCCCACAAGTGATTGCCTATTGTTTCTTCTTTTGCTGCAGGAACGAGTCAGAAATAATTGAAGAAATTGTTCAAAAGATAGATTACGAAGTGAGTCAAACATTCTCAAGTGTCAGCGAAGACTTAGTTGGAATAGATTCTCGAGTGAGAGTAGTGAGTGATATGTTATTCGGAGGACAAAATGATGTTCGCATTATTGGGATTTGTGGGATGGGTGGCATCGGTAAAAGCACCATTGCCAGAGTGGTCTACGACAAGATTAGGTGTGAATTTGAAGGTAGCTGCTTCCTTGCAAATGTCAGGGAAGGTTTTGAGAAACATGGGGCAGTTCCATTACAAAAGCAACTTCTTTCTGAGATCCTAAGGGAAAAGAGCCCAAAGATATGGGATCCAGAGAAAGGAATCAATGAGATAAAGAACAGGTTGCAAAACAGAAAGGTGCTTGTCATTCTTGATGATGTAGATAATCTAAAACAGCTGCATTTCTTGGCTGTGGACTGGAAATGGTTTCTTCTAGGGAGCCGAATAATCATAACAAGTAGGGATAAGAATTTGTTGAGTGCGAATGCAGTGGATGTATATGAGGCCGAGGGGTTAAATGATGATGATGCTCTTGTCCTATTGAGTCGAAAAGCATTCAAAAAAGACCAACCAATAGAAGGTTACTGGGAACTATGCAGACGTGTTCTGGGCCATGCCAGGGGCCTTCCATTAGCTGCTAGAGTCTTGGGTTCTTCTCTCTGTGGCAGAAGCATGGATTTTTGGGAAAGTTTCATTAAGAGACTAAATGAAATTCCAAATAGGGACGTCATGGATGTTCTAAAAATAAGTTTTGATGGATTAGAGGAACTAGAGAAGAAAATATTCTTAGATATTGCTTGTTTCTTTAAGGGGATGAAAAAAGATCAAGTAACAAGGATACTTAACCAATGTGGTTTTCATGCAAATTATGGAATACAAATTCTCCAAGATAAATCTCTCATATGTGTGTCAAATGATACATTGTCGATGCATGATTTGTTACAAGCAATGGGTAGAGAAGTTGTTCGTCAAGAATCTACAGCAGAGCCGGGAAGGCGTAGTAGATTGTGGGCAAGTAAAGATGTCTTTCATGTGCTTGGGAAAAACACGGTAAGCAGCTATATATAGAAATTTACCCAGAAATTTCCATTGCACTGATAAGAGTTGATTTTAATGACCTCTACTTCATATATAATTCTATTTTTAATTTGCATTTTGCACTTCACACCATTGGCTTTTTGATGGCAGGGGACAGAGGAAATAGAAAGCATAGCCCTGGACTGGCCTAACCCAGAAGATGTGGAAGGCACAATGCAAAAAACCAAAATGTCAGCATGGAACACGGGAGTCTTCTCAAAAATGAGCAGGCTAAGGTTGCTTAGAATTCGTACTGTGTGCTTTGATTCAGGACCGGAATATCTGTCTAACGAGTTACGGTTTCTTCAATGGCGTAATTATCCCTCAAAATCTTTGCCATCCTGTTTCCAGCCAGAAAATCTTGTTGAAGTTCAAATGTGTTACAGTAACTTGCGGCAACATTGGCTTGGAAATAAGGTAACATCATCAGTTTAGAGATGTCAGACTTTGTGTTTGAAATAAATATGAAGTAATGACCTATTTGCTTTTATCTTTGGATTTTGACAACAGATTCTTGACAATTTGAAAGTCATTGATCTCAGTTACTCCGAATATTTAACCAAGACCCCTGATTTCACTGGGTTTCCGAATCTTGAGAGGTTGATTCTAGAGGGTTGTCGAAGGCTGTCTGAGGTCCATTCATCAATTGGTCATCACAATAAGCTGATTTATGTGAATTTAATAGACTGCAAAAGTCTTACAAGTCTCCCAAGTAGAATAAGTGGTTTAAAGTTGCTAGAAGAACTTCATCTCTCTGGCTGCTCAAAACTGAAAGAGTTTCCAGAAATTGTGGGAAATAAAAAATGTTTGCGGAAGCTTTGTTTAGATCAGACTAGCATTGAAGAACTGCCCCTATCAATTCAAAATTTGGTTGGCCTAATTTCATTGAGCCTCAAAGACTAAGAAACTTGCTCGTCTTCCAAGCAGCATAAATGGTTTGAAGTCCCTCAAAACTCTCCATCTATCTGGCTGCTCTGAACTTGAGAATCTGCCAGAGAATTTGGGGCAGTTAGAATGTTTGAACGAGCTTGATGTAAGTGGAACTGCCATAAGAGAACCACCAGTCTCCATTTTTTCCCTGAAGAATCTTGAAAAATTGTCTTTTCATGGATGCGCGGAATCTTCGAGTTCCACCACAAATATTTGGCAGCGTTTAATGTTTCCACTGATGCCAAGAAAAAGAGCAACCTCAACAACTCTGTTGTTACCTTCTTTATCACGTTTATCTTCTCTAACAAAGCTGGATCTAAGTAATTGCAATCTTGGGGAAGGAGCAGTACCCAATGATATTGGCTCCTTGTCCTCCTTAAGGCATTTGGATCTCAGCTGTAATAAATTTGTTAGCCTGCCTACAAGCATCGATCAACTTTCAGGACTTGAATTTCTTCGCATGGAAGATTGCAAGATGCTTCAATCACTCCCTGAACTTCCATCGAGCATCGAAGAGTTCAGAGTCAACGGTTGTACATCATTAGAAAAAATGCAATTTTCAAGAAAGCTATGCCAATTGAATTATCTGAGATATCTCTTTATAAATTGCTGGAGATTGTCTGAGAGTGATTGCTTGAATAATATGTTTCCTACCCTGCTCAGAAAATGCTTTCAGGTCCTCTCTCTCTCTCTCTCTCTCTCTCTCTCTCTCTCTCTCTCTCTCTCTCTCTCTCTCTCTCTCTCTCTCTCTCTCTCTCTCTCTCTCTCTCTCTCTCTCTCTCTCTCTCTCTCTCTCTCTCTCTCTCTCTCTCTCTCTCTCTCTCTCTCTCTCTCTCTCTCTCTCTCTCTCTCTCTCTCTCTCTCTCTCTCTCTCTCTCTCTCTCTCTC